CCACCCCCCCGCCCAAGCAGGAGACCCTACACCATTTCTGACAGATGGTAGTCCAATCTCTACTTGAAAGTCTCAAGTGATGAAGTTCCCACAACTTCTGAGGGCAACTTCTGTTCCAGGGGTTGATTTTTCTCACTGTCAGAAAGTTTCTCCTTATTTCCAGGTTGAATCTCTCCTTGTTCAGTTTCCATCCATTATTCCTTGTCTGGCTCTTCAGGTGCCTTGGGAAATAGCTTGACCCCCTCCTCCTCTCTGTGGCAGCCCCTCAAATATTGGAAGATGCTCTCCTGTCTCCTCTGGTCCTTCTCTTCCCTAGACTAGCCAGGCCCAGTTCCTGCAACCGTTCTTCATGTGTTTTAGTCTCCAGTCCCCTAATCCTCCTGGTTGCTCTTCTCTGTACTTTTTTCTAGAGCCTCAACGTCTTTTTTATAGTGTGGTGACCCAAACTGGATACAGAACTCTAGGTGCAGTTTTACTAAAGTTTTATAGAGTATATTTATAGAGTATATATATATATAGTACCTCTCTTGATCTTGATTGTATCCCTCTCTTAAAGCAACTTCGGATTGCATTGGCTTTTTTGGCTGCTGCTGCACACTGTTGGCTCCTATTTAGCTGGTTGTCCTCTAAGACTCCAAGATCCTTTTCACAGTTACTGCTATTAAGCCTGGTTTCATCTAGTCTATATGTGTACTTTTGGGTTTTTTTTGCCTAAGTGTAGGACTTCACTTTCCTCTGCATTGAATTTCATGTTGCTAGAAAGGGTCCTGATCCCATCTGGATCTTGAGCTTATCTTTTTGGGTGTTAGCTATTCTTGCCAGTTTCCCTTTTCTAATCTGGAAGCAAGTAGATCATCTTCTCCGGCGCTGCTGATGGGAAGGAGGGCGAAGGAGTGAGGGGGGGGATCTCCCCAGAGGCCCCTCACCCCATTGTGCCAATCAAGAGGGGAGTGAGGCTGAAATCAAAGGGAAGTGTGAAGTTCAGCGGGAAAACAACACTTCTCCATCTGCAGACTCGCTTCTCTTCTCGGCTCCGGGGAAACAGCGGCTAGGAGAGCCCCGGAGCAGCTCTTGGTGGGCGCTCCTCCCTCCCTCCACTGGAAGAAGAGGAAGAAGAAGAAGGAGAAGGGAGGAGGGAGGAAGGGGAGGGGGAGAGAAGAAGAAGAAGAAGAAGAAGAAGAAGAAGAAGAAGAAGAAGAAGAAGAAGAAGAAGAAGAAGAAGAAGAAGAGGAGGAGGAGGAGGAGGAGGAGGAGGAGGAGGAGGAGGAGGAGGAGGAGGAAGAAAAAACAAGCGGAAGTGGGGAGGAAGAGGAGTGGAATAGGTAGGGGGAAGGGAAGGGGAAGGGAAGGAAGTAAATGACCGGAAGCAAAGAGGAAATTCTCTCCCTGTCTCTCCTGTCTTATCTATCATCTATCTTCTATCTCTTTGTCTCTATCTATCTATCTATCTATCTATCTATCTATCTATCTATCTATCTATCTATCTATCATCTATCCATCCATCCATCCATCTTATCTCTATCTCTAATTGCTATTAAATCATAAAGGCTGTTCAAAGACCGTAATACAGTTATTCCTTGACTTATGACCGGCCCCACAACTCAGCCCAAAATTTCAGTTGGGAAGCGAGACCGTCATTAAGTTAAGTGAAAAGTCGAGCAGAATCTGCTCCGGAGGAGAAAACGTGCAGGGAAATCGAGAAGGCGGGCTGCCCCCAAGGACGGGCCAGGAAGGCTGGGAGAACTCCAGCCAAAGACGGGGCCGCATCTCTTGTAACCAAGTAAGCAGATCCTGCAGCCAGGGGGGGGAAAAAATTGGGGGGGGGGGGGGGGAGTGCGGGGCGGGGCTAACCCCACTTGGGAGGGGCAAGAGGGACAATGCAGAAGCAGGCAGGAGGGCCCACCCCACACGTACCAATGGACCCTTCTGAGCAAATGAGAATTTTTTTTAAATCATTCCCCGAAGTTAAAATACAAAAAAAACCCAAACGGAAGAAGAAATCAAGTGACTGTCGTGGCGATGCGAATAATGATTTATTTATTTATTTAAAAAAAAACATGCGTGCCCCGATGACATGACCTTGGGGAAGTGGTGGGATTCAAAAATTTTTTACTAGCGGTTCTGTAGGCCTGGCTTGGCGGGCGTGGCAGGGGAAGGATACTGTAAACATTTCCTCCTCACTCCTGGGGGAAGGATATACTGCAAAATCTCTCCTCCTCCCCACCCCGCTAACCTGCTTTCCAGCTCCGTTCTCCTGGGCAGGGCCACCAAAGGAGACCCAGCCCACCAGCTGGGACTCAATGGGAGGCAGAGAAGAGATGGGGGTTGGCAGAGCCAATCCGAGGCGGCATTGGCCGGTTCTCCGAACTACTCAAAATTTTTGCTACCGGTTCCTGAGAACCGGTCAGAACCGGCTGAATGTACTCCTTCTTAGGAAGAGCGAAGCATTGGATTGGGCCAGAATCAGACAGAATCAGCTCCCTGTGGGAGGCCTTGGGGTGGGGTGGGGGCTGCTGGAGAGGAGATGACTGGGAGCAGAGGAGAGGGTGCCCAGGCTGGGTCCCTCACCCTTTCACCCTGCCTGCTTTGCGGGCACCGAAGGCGGAAATCCCAGGATCGGCTCCCCCAAGGAGTGCCCTTTTTTGGGATCCTGAAGTCATTAAGTGAGAAGTTCCCCGCCAGGCAGGGGGTCCGCACTCTCACTCCAGGGGTTGGGAAGTGGGGGGGGGGGTGACACATGGCCATCCAGCGGGGGCATCTCTAGTTTCCTAGGATTTCCCAAAGACAGCTAGGGTGGCTTGGACCAGGGGTCTCCAACTTGCTGAAGACAACCTCCACCTTGAGGATGCTACACTGTTTTGTGAGTGTGCAAAATGGTCACAAAAATGACTGTGTTTCGGCGCTGTTGTAACTTGGAAATGGTCAGTAAATGTTTCATAAATTTAAGTCTAGGAATATTGGCATGGATAGTCCTCCGTTGGTTTTTGACGCATCCCCTTCAGATGTGCAGAGAAGAGGGGACAGCTGCATCCCCACAGTCATGAGAGGCCAGGTGAGGAGATAACGTGCTTCGATGTGAGTGATATTGAGTTGGCCACACCCAGCCAATAACATGGCCTCCAAGCCATGCCCACCAACTAAGCCACGCCCACAGAACCGGTTGGTAAAAAAATGTGAACCCCACCTGTTTATAACCATTCTAATCAATATTTTATATCACATTTATCCATTGTTGTATTATCATTATCATTAACATTATAGTTATTGTCTTTCAAGAGTACATTTCATCTTTATTTAAATTGTATTCAGCTTCTCACTAATTCAATCCAATATATTATGCTATTATTACATATTTCAATTTCTTACTCTTCTGTCTAGCCATTCATAGAATAGATTCCAAATTTTATCAGAACCTTTTTCTTCCTGTTCTCTAATTGCCATTGTCAATCTACTCATTTCTGCACTCCATTCCATTGTTTTCTTAATTATTTCCTCTTCCGTCGGAATTTTCTCATTTTTCCAATTTTGTGCAAATACAATTCTAGCTGCTGTTAATACACTGATAATCAAATATACAGTATCTCTTTATTGGAACCTTCAGGCAAAATTCCCAATAAAAATGTCTCTGGCTTTAAGTCTACGCGTTGTTTTATCGTTTCTTCCAACCACATGTGTATTCTAGACC